TCAAAGTTCTTCCAAAAGATGTTCTATCTTGGTGCATAAATTAAAACAATTTGAGCCTCCCACGGACTCGTTTTGCTTTTTATTTGCTAGTAGATGCTCTCATATCTACTCCATCAGTGCCAATTACGAGACATTTGTTTCTAGGTATATTGCTTTTATTACGTATCTATATTCAAGTGCATAGCAAAAGCTATATATATAAAAAAAGATAAAACACCTTATAATTTAGAATGGAAGGATTATTATAATTAGTTGATGTTGACCAACCAAACTATGTAGAAGGCTAAGTGACATAGACTACTCTCGCTACCAGATTAGTGTACACGGTGTCGTATCGGTGTACGGGAAGGGGTGATGAAACCCCCTCCCTCGTGTGGAAAAGCTCCATAGTGCACACACGACGTCAAGGTGATCGAAAGAGTTGGGTGACGGTGATGAGACCTCATGACTCACATACTAGGCTTTGGTCTTGTGTGGCAAATCCAACACCGTGACCAGGAAAGACTAAGAAATTTCAGGGAGAAAATTTAGAATATACACTCATACAGTCATACTCACATATCTATGCTTGTAGAGTTCTACAGATAGCCAGAGCAGAATGTGTATATAGTTAAGACTTAGAAGGGATGGATTCACTAGTTTAGAGATGCACTTGTACAAAATTCCTGAGATGAAGCGATACAGGTCCAAGGTAGAATGTCCAATTGAAATGCTAATTTTCTTCTCTAAGTCTTCTATGATTTCGATGTAAATATTTGTTGTAAAGTTATATATCATTTGATTTAGGTGTATATATTTATTTGGAGGGCCAGAATGTAATCAATTAGTGACGATCACAATATTATCTCAAACTTCCCTTGTTAACGAGTACTATGAAAATGATTGGACTTAGTGATATCATAGGTGTATATAGTTCCTTTAGGGCAATCCTAACCTAGAAACTATGAGGTAGTTTCTATAATTGCTAAATCATGCGGATACTACACATAGAAATTATATTTTCAATGGATAGTTTTTTCATAATATTTTTCTATCCAATCACATATCTTTCCTCTTCATATCACATATGTTCCTATCAATATTTGTTCATATCTTGGTTCCGTGTAGACATGGATTTTTACATAAGAAATCATTTCCTTCTCTTTTCTATAATTTCAATGCCACATCATCAATTTATTTAGTTGGCACTCTAATTAATGAACATATAAACTATCCTCTAATTTCTTGGTTGAGAGTGCCCTTATGGATGGAGACAGTGTAATCAAATAAATGTTCTCACATTTTATCTTCATATATAAGAAGATGCTTATATGGGCAAAAATGTCGATCCCAAAATGTTGAAATAAATTAATGCAAACAATGGCTTTACCACAATTTGTCAACCAAACAAGTCATTATTGGTATTAGAGGGATACATGTCATTACACACCAAGACAAACAATTTCTTGCCAAACACTTGGTCTCTCTTCAGCCAACGGATATATATTCTCCAACTAGTGCAGGGCGCGCGGCAGATGGAAAATTTTAGACATGGAGAAAGTCTTATGCAGGCATACGCAATCTTGATGCTGGCACAGCTTTGTAGTTTGTGCATATATGAAATAATAAGATTCAATAAAATCGGTAATGTCCATATAGCAGGAATGACAAATGCACAGTGTTGGGTCATTTTGTGGACAACGGGCCCTTAGAAATTTTTGCCAATAAGTGTACATGTCTTGGAAGGGCAGGTCTGGTGCAAGCGGTAGAGTCTTACCGCCTGTGACTGGAAGGTCCCGGGTTCGAGTCGCGGTCTCCTCGCATTGCACAGGCGAGGGTAAGGCTTGCCACTGACACCCTTCCCCAGACCCCGCACAGAGCGGGAGCTCTCTGCACTGGGTACGCCCTTTTATGTGTACATGTCTTGGAAAGCAGGAATTCTAATGGAACTGCCAACACAACATGACGGATAAAAGCTGTAAACCAAGTCTGTAGTATGCAGTGTGTTGTAGCTAACTGGAAAGCTGTTTTTTTGCACATCCTGGAGAATTGGGGAAGTTGCTTTGGTTGCCATCTTGGTACTGAACCCTGGACCTCACGGGTTGGAATACAAAGGTGCTAGTTTTTTTATAGCAACGATGATTGAAACTGCAAGCTATAAAATGATATTGCAAATTCATATATTTAGAAACGGAAGCGGTGAAAGAAAACTCTGAAAACAGAGCAACAATTAAGGAAGTATGCACCATGCCCATTCATTATTATATATTGAAGACAGTTTAAGAGAGAAGCTAGAAAGCTATGATTAGCCATGAGTACTGCAGCAATCACTCATGGCCGGGTTTTTTTATGAATAGCAACTGGCGCTGCAAGCTGTGAAATAGACATTGCAAGTTCTGTATATGTGAACTCATATATATATATATATATATCAAGAAATATAAGTGGTGAAGCAAACCTCCGAGAATAGAGCAGTAACTAAGTAACTACGCAATGCAAATTTAAAAGTACGTCTCTCTAGCAAGGAAAGGTCAGAATTGTAGAAGTATAATCTATTATCAAGTTGTCGAGGTTTCATATAGCTTCAATCCAGTTATGTGAACTTGAGAGGCAGACATTTTTCACCAAGCCACCAGCCTGACCATACGGTATATGGAGCAACTAAATAACCAATGTTCTATGGCTTGGAAAAAATGAGTTAGGACACCAAATCGCTTACTTGTCCTTCCGGTGTTTCAACAGGACACATCATTCCACCAATGTGAATTATGCAATTGTGGGGTCTTGCCAATTTTCCTATTGACTACATTAGAACAAAATTTTATAATCAAGTATTCATGGAGAAGTATTAGATGGAAGAAAATCTGGGATGTCCACCTTCACATCCAATTGGAGAGTTTAGGCTCCGGAGATGCGAAAGTGTAGAAGCATAGTTGAGCCGATTAAGCACCTTTATAAGAAAGGTTACGGAACATGGATCAGCAAATTTTTCACTAAATCGAGTCTGATGTAGTGACTTAAAAATTAGTTAGAGGGAGCATATAAAATAGAAGGTACATTAATCATATAATCTGGCATATAAAATTGAAGGTTATACAGATTATGTTAGAACCCATGGGCGTGTCTAATCTTCATCATGAACAATAATCATGTAATCTGACATGATTGCTGTAAAAACTTGCATACTTGTGTGGGGCTGGAGGGGATCAAACCCATTTTCTCTGCAATACTCAACTTCTTTTTGGCATAGTCATAAATTCATAATAGTCTTGAGCCTTGGAACCTGCAAATGAACTTAGCTTCCAGATAAGTGAAGTCAAGCGAATATTTGGAACACATTGAATAAAAACCAGAATAAAGGTACATAAAAATCTCGAAGGAAAAAAAGAGTCAACTAAATCTTTCTTTGACAGCGTCCATGATCAACCAATAAGCTTCACTCTCTGCAAGCTACACACAGAGAAAAATTGCTTAGGGGAAAGGTCAATTCCATGTTACACTAAATATCAAAAAAAACAATGAAAAAAAGGCAGAGCTGATTTGACTCTCGAAATCTTGTGTGTACTACTGTAAAGAATCATATAGCATTACCTCAAAAAGATTAATCTGAGCATCAACATCAACTGGCAGATTTTCTGAAAGCTAGAGAACTCCTCTCCTAAATTCTGTGAGTTTACCTAAGACAATTAACTGCATGAGGCAAACAGAGGCATCACATACCGATCTTATGAATAGAATTGTCGTAAAGAAAAAACAAAAGTTTACATTTTGAACAACAAAAGACAATATAAATGTCAGTGCACTAAAAAACAGGAAAAAATATAGCTTGACAAAGTGTACCTTGATAATGACTCAACCAGCGTCAACGCACAATCACTGCAAATCACATGAGCCTATAGCAAGGATTCTCACCATGGATCTATATTGAATCAAACATCTATTTTTGGTTGCATCTAATGCTGCCCAGCCAGATTAGGCTATCAAAGAAGCAGTTTTTTCTTGTAAAATATATCTCACCATGGATCTATTTTTATTCATACTCCTTTATGAATAAATCAGTCCAGATTACTACTGGACCATGGAAGGATACGAAGTTAATTTACTTTGAGACCAAACGACTAGTACATTACTATTTGACATGTTTGTCGTCCCATCATAATAGGTAGTTAGAAAAAATAACACCGATATTGGAGTATACGGTCTTGCTCAATCGGATCAGATATATAGCAAGAGTACGCAGCCGTGCAAAAATCTTAACAGCTCGGATGGGTGGAATGGACGAGACAAACTTACGGCGAATCTCCAAAGGAACTCGCTGCACTCGGTTTCCAAATGTCGTTTGGGAATAAATTAATCAAGAGGATGAATTTACCAGAGGTGTGTTTACACGTACATTCGCGTAATGAAAGAGATAGATTAATCAACTGATATATGTAAGAAAGAAGACATTCTAGGAGAAAAGGAAAGTCCAATCAGCTAGTATGTAAGAAAACTATTCATCAGTTATAAAATATATCATAAGTTAGAAACCGTGTGCTGAGAGAATATGAAGCACATTCGCTAAACAAATTTGTGCTGGGAATATCCTGGGAGGAAGATGGCAGATGGGAACAGGAACACGGGGAGTACGCCGTGGGAACAGGAACAGCGAGTCCCCGTCCCCTTGGGAAACCAAATTTCCACTGTAGTAATTAATCTCACCGCATCTCTGACCGGAACGGCGGGAACCCCTGCTGTCTATCTCTCTCTCTCTTCCCCAAACCGAAATCCATCCATGCATGCATGCATCTCTAATCTCAACAACCCGTGCAATTACTCCTCGGAAGTCGGAACGACGAAGGTACAGGAGTCGCGTTCGCGTCCGTGTCCGGGCCCTTAAAGCCTGCACCCATTCGGTCTTATCCTACACTAGTCGCATGCCATCGTTCAGGCCGCGGTCTAGCCCTATTTACACCTGCTACTAGCAGCACGTCGACCAAAACCGCCTACGTTCAGTGAGAGAGGCAGCGAGCGGAGGGTCGATGGCGGACAACAAGCCGAGCTACTCACTCGTGCCCGGCGATGGCGGTCGCGCGTCGGGATTGATCAGACGGAGAACCGCCGAGGAGAGCGGCTGCGGCTTCCTCGACTTGTCGCTGGGCTCCATCTACAGCAGCCCGTCGTCCCTGGCCGACGACGACGCCTTCTCGCCGGTGGATGCCTCGGGCGCTGTGTCGTCTGTCGTCACCGCTGCCACGGCGGCCTACGCGCCGCCTGTGCCTGCTAGTCGCGCTTCGGCGTTCGCGCTGGGACTTGCTGACTCGGCGGTGCCCGGCGACGGCAATGGCGGCGGCCATGCCTTTGTCCTTGCTGCCAATGCCCTGGCGGCGGCGAATCAGGATCAGGTGGCGCCGGCGCCGTCTGTGCTGCCACCGCTGTTTGCCAGCCCCGTTCCTGTGCCAGTCCATGGCAATAGCAACGCTTCTGCGACGGTGCCGGCGGCCAGTGACAGTGGCGCGACGCGGGCACCTCGATCCAAAGGAGCTGTGGCGTTGTTGGGTGTATCTCCCCCCTCGTCCGTGCCACCGCCTCCCAACAGAAAGGCCCCGCGTGGGCGGCGCGGGAACGCCACCGGCCGCCGTCGCCGCAGCGGTGCAGCCGGTGATGATGCAGATGCAGCTGACGCCGCACTGACCAACGGTGGCGAGAGCGCGCCGCCGTTTCCGTGGGCGACCAACACCGCGGGCGCACACCCGACGCTCGCCGAGCTCATCGAGCGAGGGATCGCCTCCGTGGAGGGCGAGGTCCGCTGCAAGCGCTGTGACGCCGGCAAGAGCATCTCGTACGAGATTAAGGCCAAGTTTGAGGAGCTGTCCGGCTTCATCGTCCGCAACGTGGAGGCCATGCATGACCGCGCGCCGCCGGAGTGGATGTACCCGGCGCTGCCGGACTGCGACAAGTGCGGGGAGAAGAACAGCCTCCGTCCCGTGATCGCCGCCAAGAAATGGAGGATAAACTGGATGTTCCTGCTGCTAAGCCAGACGTTGGGGCTTTGCACCCTTGAGCAGCTGAAGCACTTCTGTGCCCGCACCAGGCAGCATCGCACTGGTGCCAAGGACAGAGTCCTCTACTCCACCTACATGGAACTCTGCAACCAGCTGCGCCCCGGTGGCCCGTTCGACATGGCGTCCGAGAGGAAGAACAGGACTCGTCCATTTGCTTAAGTTTGTTCCCATATTCGCCTTAAGTTAGTTCCCATATTTCCTTAAGTACGTTAGTTCCCATATAGATATGCAAGATTATTATAATTTGTAAATATCTATCCAGCATTCCAGCTCGTCATATATATCTTTTCTTTTCTTATTTAGTTGCATTTTTTCCTTCTTTCTTCAAAAGCACAAAGTTAACATCCGATTTCAAATATGTATTTGACAGTGTTTGCATTTGGACACAACGTTTGACCGCACCATTCGTTACTTAAAAGAAACAATTAAATGGTATAATTCATGCCTAAAGACCCCCTTTTTTTCTTAATAATAGAACAAGTCACAACTACTAAATGATTGTACAGAGTGGTAGCCTAAAACGCAGTTACTCAGGCCAAAAGAGAGTGGCGACCACGGTGTACCACAATGTTTATTTAGCACACGTATGCCCGCTTCATGTTTGCAACGTACGGGTTTGTATTTAGATCTTCTAACTAATTAGTTTCCTGTATAGCTGATTGAAGTTTTCTTTTCTCCCATGATTCCATGGATATTTTCCCTTTAGTTGCAGGATAGCTATTTAATCTCTCTTTCCTTTGCATGAATGCAAAAAATATCTCTGATTAGTTTATCCTCTCGGTTAGTTTTCTTGTATGGCCAATGTACGTCATTTGCTGCTAGCCTTAGAGCGAGTGTGCACGCAATAAGGGTCTGTCTGGTTTGCAGATTTAAAAAACTGTCTGGCCATGGCAAGCTCCCTAGGCGTCCGATTTTGCATGCCTGGGGCAGGATTCGTTACCAACTAGGTCAGGTCTCAATCCAAACACCCTAAGGCCCTGTTTATTTCCTTGAGAAAAACTTTTGCCCAGCACTTTTAGCCCATGTTTAGGGCAAATAGATCTAAACAGGTGGGGGGAAAAGAGCAAATCCAGGAATGTAAGGAGCAGTCCATTTGCCACCTAAGAGGCCTAAAACTTGGCTAAAACGCCTAGGGGCACGAGCTGGACGCCCACTACCCCCGCACCCACCCACCCGCGCTCGGCTACCTTATCCTTTCCCCCCGTCACTCTCGCTCTCTCCCTTCGCGCGAACCCTAACTCCGCCTGCCGCTCTCGCCCTCTATCCCTCTGCCCCAACCCTAGCTCCGCCCGCCGCCGCCGCCCAGATCCAGCTCCACCTCCCCGGCGCCCAGATCCAACTTCTCCTCCCCGCCGCCTAGCTCCAGCTTCTCCCCGCCGCCAGATCCAGATCCGCGCGACGCAGATGGACGGCTACAACGGCGACGGCTACGGCGACGCGACCACACCAAGGACTTCATGTCGCAGCCTGATCAGTATTCCCCTTCGGTGGCTACGACATCTTCTCTGACGCGGCATATCCCTTTTAGGACTCGAGCGGCGTCAATGCTATCCGGATGGGCATTACGGCACTCGACCTCAACTCCCAGGGCGAAGGGTGGCCCGGAATGGCGGGCTATGACGTCCTCCTTCGCTTCGACGTGCAAGATGGAGGCATCGGCGGTAGCATGGGCCCCCCTCCAGTTCACGTCCACAGCGGCAATCGTACCCTCGGCTTGCGTGCGGCTCGTAGTGGTGGTGGAGGAGGCGCCATGGCCAGTCGCGCCGTGTCGTCATCCTCCGGTGGCGGCCGTGGCCCTCCCTTGCCTCCTGTGGACACCGGCGTTCGTGGCACGCGTGGATCTAGCTCATCCGTGCCTGCTGGATCGAGGACCCGTAGTGGACGTCGAGGAGCCACGATGAGTGCTATTGCAGAAGACAACTTCAACATCAACCCCCAGGATGCTGCTGAAGACGGCGATGTCCAAGAGATATTTCTGAACGCTCATGGCCCGGTACACTTTCAGACCCTGAAAATATGCTTGTTGTAGGATTTTGCCATGCTCTTAATGTATCTGTGTATTCTTGTTATGCATGGATTAGGATAGAACTGACAAGGCAAATTGGTCAGAACCATATAACAAAATATTGTGTAATTTGTGGGTTGACCAAATTAACAAGGGTAGCAGCATCAAAGGATCCATGTCAAAGAGATGGTACAGGGAGGTTATACTAAGGTATAATGCAGCAACCAATTTGGTGCATGATCAGAAGCAGATCAGTAACAGGATTAAGCAACTGAAGGGATACTGGCAATTCATAAGAAGATTGTAGAGTGACACTGGCTTAGACCGTAGAGAGGATGGCACTATTGATGCCACAGAAGAATGGTGGAATGATAACACTAAGGTACTTGCCAAACTGTTTGTTTCCTGTTTGACCACTAGTTAGTTCATCACTTACTCACTATGGTAAGCACATGTTCTACAAGGGCACTTAGAATGGGTCAGTCCCGAGAGCTCCCAAAGCAACCAGACCGAGTCCTGTTGCTACAACCAGACTGAGTCCTGTTGCTACAACCGGACCAAGTCACCAGGGTCCTATTCAACAGGACCATCTCACCTCGGTCCTGTTCAACACATAGAGCACTTAGAACCAATCAGACCGAGGCAACTGGACCCAGAGAAGCACCAACCATACCATGCGCCACCAGGGTCCTGTTCATCACAGAGAAGTCCAAAACAGCTTGCAACCGGACTGAGTCCGGTTCTACCAACAGGACCATCTCCGCCAGGGTCCCGTTCAACACAGACCAACAGGACCATCTCACATTGGTCCTGTTGCCCTCGTCTCCAGGATCTGGTTCACTTTTTCATCTTCAAATCAACTCAAACTTCTTCTCCTTTGCAAATGTGCCAATACCACTAAGTGTACACCATAATGTGCAAGTGTGTTAGCATTTTCACAAACATTTTTAAAGGATTAGCATTCTTTTTACCACGCCACTCGATCCTAGCAACAATACAAAGTTAGATCACTCGAGTGGCACTAGATGACCGATATGCAAACAAGTTTGCCCCTCTTGATTGTACGACCATCTATCCTAAACCCGGTCATAAACTTCTTTACACACCTATGACTGGTGAAATAAAATGCCCTATAAATATACCTTTGTCTTGCGCATTCTATTCCATCTCCTCCAATGTTGATGAAACACATGCACCAACAATATCACAAATGATATGATCCACTTTATATCATCATGTGACCATATTGGTTCATCGATCTTGATCTCACTTGCTCTTCACTGTTGTCTCGGTCCATCAGCGCCAAGTCCACGACTTGCCCTTCACTCTTGCAACCGGTCCGTCAAGTCAAGCCTTGTCTTAATCTTCTAAACCCTAGTCACATGACTCAATGTCATGTCTCATATGCAATGAGATCCATCATCACATGTGTGAGCTTTGCAACATATCCAAAACATTTCACCTCCATGGCATGTATTGCTCACACACATGAACATGTGGACTAATCACATGTGTATCTCACATAAACACATATTAGTCCACCTAGGTTGTCACTCAATTACCAAAACCAAACAAGGACCTTTCAGCGGGCCGACGACGCTTGTAGGCAGTGGGCCGGCAGCAGTGGCTGCATGTTGCGGAAGGGAGGCATCGGGGCGCATGAGCGGTGGGGAGGCCGCGGGCGCGCGACAAGGAGAGGGCAGCAGCGCGTTGCGCCTGGTAGGGCCAGCAGACGAGTGCCGCGACTCGGAGGCGGCCGCGTGCCACGCCTGGCAAGGCTAGCAATCGAGCGGTGCACCTTGGAGGTGGCCGCACGCTGCGCTTCGGAGGGCCAGCGGCCATACGCTCAGATGCGGCAGGCGAACGGATAAGAGCGATATGAAGAGGAACGAGTGGATTGGAATAAGTGGATGAACAATTTTTTTTTAAGAAACGAAAGAGCCTAAGTTGTTGGGCTGACGTCGTGGCTCAACAACGGAGCAGCGGGCGGATGGACGTCCGGTTCAAAGCATTACCGTTATGCCATATTACCGGTTGTTTAGTGTCGGGTGAGGTGAGGTCTGTTGGGGCTAGCTATGTTTTAGGACTCTAGTTGATGCTTGCTATGGGAGTCAAAGCTGCTGATTGCTCGTGCCGAGCTAGGAGCTGGGGAACGATGATGCATTGTGTGTTGCTTATATGTGCAATTGGTTGCTTTGGGATTAGTTAGGCTGTCATGTTTAGAGTTTTTTTTGTCGATTTTTCGGATCCAGTTTCTCTTAGGATACTATTTTTTTTCTACCATATATGTTGAACAGCGCGAAGCGAGGAACTCCTTGTTCAAAAAAAAAAAAAAAAAGCGAGGAACTCCCTATTGGGAGATTGTTTCGGAAAAAAAAAACGCAGTCTGAAATGTTGTCCAGTCACCAGAGACACGCTTGGGGCCTGGGCCCCTACTATAGGCCCATGGGCAATCGGTCCGCCACTCCGCCGGTTATCTTTCGGTCAACAGCTCGGACCCCTGGAACCGCGTGCTATAATAACAACCAAACGGCGGCGATGCGGCTTTTCTCCGGCGTCCTCGATTCTTCTTCCGCGCTTGCCTCCGCCGTCCTGGGCTCCGTGTCCGACCGCCTCGGATTCTCGCGCGTATTTTTCGGTCGAACGAACCCCTCGAGCATGCCGGCTCTCGCTTGTGAAGCCGCTGCCGACGCCCAGAAACCATGGCTCTTCGTCGGTCTGGGGAACCCCGGGCGGATGTACAAAGGCACTCGGCACAACGTAAGTTCGCGAGCTCTCTCCAATTGCCCGTCCGTCACGTCTCGTGTAGGATAAATCTAGCTAAGACGACGATAGATGCGAGGGCGACTGCCTCGTCGGTGGCGACCACGGTGGCAGAGTTGCTATTTGGGGGAAAAGGCAATTCGATCTAGATTAGTTTTTTACTTCGATATATGGATGGGCTGTCTGTCGATAATAGTGGATTCAGCTGATGCAGGTGTGGGGAATAAGGTTGCGTTTGGTTGAGAGATATTCTAGGGTGGGCATGCTAGGTTGATGACAACAACTGTTGCTGATTGTGGTGCTAAAATTTTATTTACATCAACTCATCAAGTAATTCTACATGCGCATGTTTCCATCACAATTACCTTGGCATTAAGAATTGAAAATTCTT